GAACGTTCATAGTGGATTCCTCGCTCGGAGTTTATTGAAAATCCCAACGCACTCGGTATCTACTGACTAAAATGCGTCTCTCTAGCCGATATAAGCGTTTCTAACTGACGTTCGAATCGTACGCCCAGGACCGGAAACCGGTACCCTTATAGGGCGTGCACCCTTATAATAGTATTTAAAAAGCCCAATAAGAACCGAGAAGTCGTTAGGGCCATTATTCTTATAGCAAGTATCTTCATAGGGAGATTCGGCTGTACTCGGTTTTGATGGTATCTTAGATATGTAGGCTTACGGCCCGGTCATCTAAAGTTGGTTTGGACCCTGTCGAATTGTGAATCATGTTTCAAGATTAAACTTTTGCAGTCCCCGAGTTCCAGTATTTAAATTATTCATGAAACCAATACATCTGGTGATAGTTTAGCCCTGCTGGGCTGCTATCCCTTATGGTATCATTATAATTTCTGGAGAAAAGAAATTTCATATTTCTTATATGATAGTGAACTAGGCGGCTTCCCTTGTTAGGCAGAGCCTGATAGTCATTTCTCTGGCCCAAGTCAGCCCATCCCCAGGTTTGGAATCATCAAAGAGTTACACTAGAACTTACGTTACGGGAATAAGCCGAGGTTTCTGACTTGTACAACTTCCCCAAGATTATTTCACTTAACACTTCCCTGCCCATGATCATCCGTAGAGTCATTCGTAACGTATCATCACATGACCTCCGTGGTGGAAGGCACCCCAATCAAGTAAATTCCCCAGACCACTCTCGGCTGTTGATATGACTCCAGTTCGTTTCATTCTCATTTTGTCGTATAACAGCAATAGATATCAACATGTTATGCCGTGTGTAGCATGTGTATTCACTGCGTTTTGTGATTTTCAAGCATAAAACTCACACCCCTTGTCTTTTGGAACAGTTTTGTAAGACTCATGTTCGGGGTTGGGGGCTTATTGACAGTTTTGGCGTCAGAAGCCGAGCCCTGTAATCCACTCTTTAGAAAACGAATACGATGCAAGTAGCGTGCTCCCTCTGTGCTGCACAGCAACCATATACCAACATGGCAGTTGGGATCAGGGCTCTATAGGAGGATTGCCAGTGAAAGATGTCTTTTAATGCACGGCAAAGTACTATCGGCCTTTTATTGAAGGCGGTAACACCTCATTGGCCATTAGGTCTTACATCTTCGAGCGAACCTGGTATCTATTCTATGATAGGCCTGCAAACTTGATTACCTCTAAAGCCTCCACTCGGGGTACAAGGAAGTACGCTACTGTAGGGATCGAACTGTGCTTGAAGATTCCGTTTTCTTTGGGTAATCCGCCCTTATCATGTGGGCAATACGAACGACTCTGGTGATTATCGAGTGATAATGTATGATTTACCTGGTTTTCGCCGCCGCTAGGGGGTTAGGGAGAATCTCTGAACTAGTAGTCATAGATAATGGTGTTAGCAGATGAGTTCCACAGGCGGTTATGGAAGAAGCTTTTGGGACTCTTCTCATCATGAGTCCTAACAGGCCCATACGAAGTTCCAGATATACCGTCTCGAAAAGAGAAACCCAATCGCATATCAGATCGAACGCGGAAGAACACTATTACCTGAAGGAGTGAATACACTCTTGATAGCATTCATCGTCTTTCTATGATAAAATATGATTTAGTGATGTTTGGTTCTAGATAACGTTAGATTCGGCGAGGTACTATCTTTTTATCGGAAGCGGCCCACCCATTTGAAGCACTGGGCAGCGGATAAAGAACGTCCAATATGTGTTTGCCCATAGCCAGTGTTATTGTTATTGTTGTTAACTCATTAATTGCTACGAGAACATGGCCAGTATTGAAATGCCAACCTTTTGGAATAATTTGAGCGGTTGACCACCTGAGCCTTCGAGATAAAAAGCTCTATACATATCTTCGCTCATCGGCAGAGGAAGAACATAGATTCCATTCGGTGAACATACTTATCTTCATCGTACATGCGCTCCCCAGCTCTTCCAGGTCAACGACGCCTTGGTGAGATTTGCCAGGAAGTTCCCCCCGCTACATCCGCCTGAAAGTTCACATACTTTCAGCAAAGCCATTAATTGTAACAAGGGAAATACAGGCCCCGCATGCTTTTTATCTCAGACCTGAACATATTAGCTCAGAACTGATACTTTTGACGTGAAGGTAAGTTGGATAGAAATCATGGACAACAAGTCGATGAGCATTGCCATATATAGTGAAGTGACGTGCAATGAGAAGACAGACCTACGTAGGTGACGTTGCGAGTGAAAGTAAAGAGGACATGCTACACGCCCAAAATATTGATATGCTGTTAAGCCTGTGGAATGGGATTACTTATGAAATCTGATGCACGGCGGGCATAGGTGGACATTAGCTTGGCACGCCTATAACCAACTAGTTGGTCATAGGCGGGCATGCCACCTATGCCCGCTCGAGCAAAGAATAAATACTCCGTATCATAGATTGAATAGAAACTATCTTGCGCATCATACACCTTGAACTACGTACATTTGCGTAGCAGGACATAAACCTTAAAAATCCTTGGCGTACACACCTCTCCACCAAAACAAAACCCTAACCCTCCACCCAGCACCTTCACTATTGAATGGAGCCGGAGCCCAACCACGACAAAGGGACAAAAGGGGACACCGAGATTAATTTCATACTCAACCGATGAGGGGTCTGTGGGCTCCAGAAGATAGAAATAAACTTTGAAAGGACTCCGGTACACTCAAAAAGTACTGCAGAACATTAATTTGGATACTGATCTGTAGGCCTCGCAAGTACAGTGTTCTAGCCCTGACGCACCGTCTACCACTAGACCAACTCGCCCACATGACTGATATTTGCCCTCTCCCGAAGTGATACTTGAGAGATGGTCACTACTAAGTGCCAAGGCACCTTATGTAGCGATACTTACAATTATGTTTACAGAATACTTATCATCCTTCTCTACAACACCACTTCATCTAATTGAGAAGTAAGTTTAATGGCCCGGTGTTATCAAAGAAAACGGGATCTACTATAAACCTACCTAGAGAAAACGGGAGAGGCATAACTCCCTCTCTCCTCTCATTCCAAAGGTTCTCTAGCTTCTTTAATTCCCCTACCAATGTTTCCCTCCCCGTTATTAGTATGCATTTACCAATATATTCTCCGCAAGATAGTGTAAGGTAAAGTACTAACGGTCCATTTAGGATCTTAAGCCCAATAACATTTCCAGCTTTTCAGTCGATACTCGATCTAAGAACACCCGGTGTGGTTCTATCTAGGTCTATGTCACTAACTGTAGACAAAGAGTTCGAGCTTATGTGAATCTTGCCAATATCTTATCGCGATCCATATACATCCTTTGGACTGAGATATGACCGTTGGCATGTTCGATTTTTGCAAACATACATGTATATAAGGTCTTGCTTGTAAAAACCTGTGTCTGTAGCCTGCCTACATATTTTAACTAACTACGTGTAGCCTCTCCAGATACCGATCCCAGAAAAGGTACGAGCTTCTAAATATGTCTATATCATCCAAATATCAAATCCTTAGCTAATCGAGCTTGAAGACAATATAAAGAGTCGTGGGTTGTATGGGTCCACCGGTACTGTTACTGTCACTCTTATCAACAGAAACAGTGCATCTTCTGTAGATTGAGGAAATGCTATGCTGTTAGATTATCCTAAAAGTAACCCAATTAGCGACTATTCTTCGACAATTCTACAATCTTAAAAGCTCGATATTTCTTTTCGCTTCTGCGTTTAGCAGCACAGCCTGTCCACCAAAAAGGGTTTAGCTCACTCCGCTCCCGATACTAGTCCGAAAAAATTTGCAACACCAGCTGGAGGATTCCAGTGATGCCGAACTCTCAAGAAGGTCTTGCCCGGAGTCGAACCGGGATTACAAGAATCAGAATCTTGGGTGCTAACCATTACACTACAGAACCGCTGGCTAGGGCACCTCTACCTGAAATATTTTCGGTAGAGTCTGCCCCACTTGTGCCATGTTTTTCAACTAAAATGGATATATTGGCCTTCGTAAACATGGTTCTGTAGTGTAATGGTTAGCACCCAAGATTCTGATTCTTGTAATCCCGGTTCGACTCCGGGCAGGACCTTCTTGGACACATCCATAGATAGGGTCGACAGTTTAGTTTTTTATTTTTATTTTTAATTTTTGGGGGGGAATCTGCTTCCGTGGAAAGTATGTGGATGCCTCAATAAAACACAACAGGCAACCAGTATTACGCATTCATATGAACATCGAAAAAGCGGCATCGGCTTCATTGACCCAGGTAACAGGTGTAATTCTCTACTTTGACTACGTTATACCCGTCTATACTCAAGACAGCCATACGGTCGCAATCCCACCCTACTCACTCACAAGTCCCTGATACAAGAGTCAATGATCATTACTACAACTCCCAGAACCAACCCTCATAGAAAGACAACAACGGTGGGAAGCCAGTCCAATCAACTAGCCTACTCAGATAGCCTACGTAGGGTAGAAAGACGGTGATTGGCGCTCTGGTTTTAAAGCTACTGAACTGACAGCTTGGTGGTTAATTGGTGGTTGATACGGTCCATAGAAGGAGCGTAGGCCTCCGAGCTTGATAGCTGCGAAGACTTAATCATAAGCTCTCCTTCGTGAGTCGAATCATCAGTTCTGATCTACTAACCTCTCATATTCTCCTCGTCAGCTAATTTATAAAGACCCCACTAGGTGTCTAATACCTTCTACACCGCACACCATCTTGTGCCAGCTACTGGCGATAAATACCCTCTATAATTTCTTCTTCCCCTCCTTCTTAGGCTCCTTCTTAGGTTCTCACTCGTCCACTCAACACTACATTCACACCCGCTCACTCGTCCACTCGACATTATTCTCGCTCGTCCACTCAACGCTATATTCACACCTTCTCACTCATCTAATCAACACTAGATTCTCACTCGCTCACTCGTTCAATAAACACTACATTCACAACCTCTCACTCACTCACCATGAATCGGCTCTCTATAGACCCGAGCACCCTCTCCAACACCCAGCAAGAGCTGGAGCAACTCTTCGAAAACACCATCTACGACATCGACGACGCCGAGCTCCTCGCCCACCGATCTCTCCAAAGACCCCGCACGCCCTCCCAAGAGCTAGCACGCCACTTAACCAGACTAACACTACACATTCCGGGGCGGTCCAACGGTGCTAGGTATGGCCCTGGCGCTACTAATACATCGGTACTAACAACCACTGACGCTGACACCAGCGCCAGCCCTCCCGAAACCTCAATCGAGGACCTAACCCTCCTATTCTCGCAGCTATCACTCGAGCCCACTCCGCTTTCGCCGGCTAGTGCACTCAGGCTTGCGCTTCGAGAGGCGGTGGCAACGCCGCTGGAGGGCATTGCGGAGGAGGACGAGGGGGAGGAGAGTGATGGGACTATGTATAGCTGTGACGAGGGGGGTAGTGAGCGCGGCAGCGAGGGCACGGTGAATGAGTGGGATGAGTGGGTGTTGGAGGATGAGGAGGAGGTGGAGGTGCAGGTGGCGGATGAAGATGAGGTGGATGCGGAGGCGAATAGGGTTATGGATGCGATTGTGTTCAAGTCGTGGATTCAGGTTGTGCCGTGGGTTGTTTAGGATTTGGGGGGCTTCTTTGCAATTGGCGTTTTTTTTTTGACTTTTATCTAATTATGTGGGTGGGGTGTGGAGTTGGCTGGCTATTTTTTAAGATATCTTTTTCTTTGCTTCTCTTTGCAGTTGCAATTAATATTATAATGCGGTTTTGTGTGTTGTGGTTGATGAGGGACTAATGTCTCTCATATGTGGATCTCCTTGGAGAAGTTAAGGGTTTCTTTGGCGTTTTTTTGACTTTTATATGGGAGTTGTGCTGACTATTTTCATTTACGTTTTTACAATTGCTATTCTATGTTGTGCTTATGAGGGACTATACAATGTGCTTATGATCATAAAACTGGCTTTAATTGGGTATTGGGATGGGTAACGAATTGCTCTTTTTTTCTTTCCTTTTCTTTGATATATTTTACTTTATGCTAATGTGATCATTACCCCTTATTTTCGAATAAACTGCGTCAGTCCTCTGGTGACACAACTGAGTACTGACCCGATACTCCCAAGTCCGCGATGTTCTTTCTAGCCCACTCTGAAAAGTGAGCACGTGAATTGAGCTATGTATCAATGATAGCTATCTCAGATTCTCAACACCCAGTGCCCAGAGGCAACAGTCATTCCAGTAATATAAACAATATAAACACCCACAAATACAAATACAAAGTCTACAAACACCCCCTACTCCGCCTCCAACGGCGCATTCTCCTCCACCCCCTCCACCCGAATACCCCCCCTCTTCGCCTCCCCACTATCATGAAACGGCAGCGCCCACCCGCCCTCGCTCTCCGGCGTCGCCAGCCACAGCCTTAACAGATGCCTGCGTGGCGCGGGCGGCGCATGGTCCGTGTACTCCGTGCGCGCGTGGAACACATGCGTGTTACTGACGACCTGGAGGTCGCCGACGTCGAGGACCATGTGTAGCGACAGCCGGCGACAGGTGTTTTCTAGCACGTCGAGCGCGGTGAGTTGTGCGGGGGTGAGCGGCGGGATGAGGCCCGTGGAGGAGAAGCGCGTGAGGGAGCGGACGTAGTAGGGGTCCCATCTGCGGCGTGTTAGTGGGTGGTGGTGGTTGGGGGGGAGGGCAGAGGGGGGTTACTTGGAGTAGAGGCGCCCGCCCCACCAGTAGAAGACCGAAGCGCGGATCCACTCGGCTTGGCCGGGAGAGACCTCGCCTTTACGGTCGAAGTACCACGTCGGTTGGCACAGCGTCTCTACGACGTCTGGCCGCTCGCGCTGTAGGACGTTGAACACTGTGTGCGCCGACACAACATCGGACTCCCCGCCCTCCAGCGCCCGCGCAAGACATAGTAGTCCCACGAGGTCCGAGTCGTCGGCGTGGAAATACTGTCTTTATCCCCCGTCAGCGCTACCTCCCACCCAACCTTCCCCTTATCTAGTATAAAGAAGTAGACTTACCGCGCATTGGTGCGGTATATGCGCACTTTATCGATCTGCGTCGAGTCCTCGCCGAGATCCTTGACATGCCCGAGAACATGCCCGCGCCCGTTCTGGGACACGAAGTGGCCGAGATAGCTTCCGAGACCCATGTATGCGGCGGCGCACTTGCGGCGGTCCCATTGCGTGACGGGGAGGCCCTTGAAGAGAATGAGACCGCGGCCGTGGAGCAGTTCTTGCCGTGTGGTTTCGAGGAGGGAGGTGAGTGCTGGGGGGAGGGGGAAGCGCTCCTGGTGGAAATATAAGTATCAATTGTGTATGTCCATATCATATCAGGGCGTTCGTGAGCTGACCTTTGTGATCTCTGTAAGCTCCCAGCCAGCCGCGAGGAATGCAGTAGCGGCAGAGTCGATGGCCTGGATTTCGGCGGGCTGCCAAATATGGGTCCAGAGTTCGGGGTTGGCGCGGAGGGTGTCTGCGGACCAGGCGGTGGAGCCGTGGATCTGGTGCGGGAAGGAGGTGTAGGGTGCGAGGTCGGCGAAGAGGGGTTCGTGTTGCCCGGAGGTCCTGGGAGCGGTGAGGATTGTGGTGGTGGACATCGTGACGGTAGTGGGGGCCTTCAATTGAGCGAGATTTTGGGTGGTGGGTAGATCTGGAGTGGAGGTGGGAGGTTATTTATTCTTCTGCAATTGTGATATCTGTAGATCCGGGATGACATGACGTTAATTGTGGGGGGGGGGTTATGGTGATGTGGCCATGGGCGGGGTATTTCGATATTGAGTGTATGATACCATTCGCTGGTGTATGATGCCATTCGCTGGTGTATGATACCATTCGCTGACCAGGGAGCTGAGCAGGGAGTGACCGATAGCTACATACATAGCTAGCCAGCATCTCGAGCTGTGGTGTTGCTGCCAAGCATTAGCTGGGCTGGGAGGGAGCTCTCATCGATAACACGGCCAATACGTGCAGAGAGTCGAGACTACATGTACATGTCGGTGCAGAACAACTATATATACCGTAGATACAGCTAGCTATGTGCACCCACATTAGAGGTTAAGGGATGTCGTATTGTAAGGCGGTATGTGTTCCATTGGCGGTAACAAGACCAAATTAACTATTGGACAAGAAGAGAGCTGATCATGATGGATTATAGGACGTGGTCGAGGACAGGTTGTCATACCACCTATTCCTCGTTGTAGTAGTTATATGGAGCTGACAGTCACGTACGCCGTGCGGCAGTATTTAGTGAGGTTCCCTGATCCAAACCTCCTAGTAGAACCATCATCTACGATATCGATCGAAACTTCTGTCGAAATATCTCCTACACTGGCTACATGGCGCGAACTATCAACTGCACTCTCACAACATCGACCAGCTATGGCTTTATGAGTTTCCGACCATTATTATCGGCCTATGCGGTGGCTCAGCGCTGTAGACGTAAGGCCTAGGATGAACGACCAAAACACTCATTACTGAAAATATCACTCGGTAATCAACGAAAGAGATGACTCCAGTCGCTTCTAATAATGGATCAGCTGGGGCGGCCACTATCTACGTTGACCTGATTCAATTCTCTTTGTGGGTAACAATCTCAAATCAACAAAGTCGCACATCACCCGAGAACCGGCTGGGTATCCACAAATGTATCGAATTTAAACCCACTACTGACTAAAGACCTAGACAGTATAGATGACACACTCGAAGACAGATCCCTAGCTTTCTTATAACTAAGACTAGGGTCGCAAACACTTTACCAAACAATACCCTCTCCTCGCGGGGGATTCTCCTCGTCCCTTGCAGAATCACCAGCTAGCACCCGGTACCCGTTGCGTACCGACTTGTCACCGAGTGATCTTGGATGATCCAATAAGACTGAAACACCAAAATCACCCCTTACCTCGAGAATCTCCAGCAAAATGAAAGGCCTCAGTAAGGGCATCGAGATATGTTTATCGCGGAGATTAAAGCACCTGTCTCCTCGTAATATTCTCGCACAAAAATGATATTGCAGGCACGCTGTAAGGTCCTTCAATCTACATCACTGGCATTGGGGGGAGAAGGGCATAACAAACAACAAACCTGCCACTTTCTAGCATCAATAAATACAGTCCTCTCTCCGTCCTTCTTTTTCCGCACCGTACTCTATCTACCTACCTACTCGCTCTTTACAACTACCTCCAAGTTTTTCTACTCTACCAATACACTCCCTACATCACACTACCACACTCCTTAAGCCAACCCACCACACAATCAAAATGCAGTTCTCACGCATCCTCCCCACCCTCATCTTCCTCCTCCTTCCCTTCGCCCTCGCCAGCCCTCTCCCGCAAACCACCGCCTCCGGCAACGACGGCTCCGGCGACCAGGACGTCGGCAACAAGGGCCAGAACGCGGGCAACGCCGCCGCAAACAAGGGCACCGTCAAGGGCGACTACACCGTTGAGCAGGGCGTGCAGACATGCGGTAACGCGCAGCTCAACTGCTGCAACAAGATCGAGAAGAAGGGGGATACGACGAGTGCCGGGTTGTTGGGGTCTCTGTTTGGGTCTGGCGATATTGGCCTGCAGTGTTCGCCGATTAATTTGCCGGTTTTGGCTGGTATGTTTATGTTCCTTATAGCTTGGGGAGTAGGGAGACGGTGCTAATGAGGGTGATGGTTTGCAGCGCAAGTGCCAATTAATAAGGCGTGTGATGCCAAGGCGGCGTGCTGCCAGGGAGAGACTTCGCAGGTATGTGGTTTTTATGATCATTGGCTCTAACAGCCTCTTTCTTCCTCTCTTTCGATCATATACTAACATAGACGTTACAGAACGGACTCATCAATCTTGGATGTATCGCCCTTGCATCCCTCATCTAATCGATACTCGCCCTGGATAACGATAACGAGTGGAATTGGTTTATACAAAAAGATTGGTCTACGTTTATAATTTACATCACATCACATCACGGTCTTGCTGCGATGATTTTTCTAGTCTCTGTTTTTGCTTCGCTTCTTTGCCCGTCTACCCGTAGGTAGACGGTGCCTTTTGTTTTCTACATAGCTAGCTAGTTACTTGACTTTCAGTGGGCTTTTTGGAACCTTTTAATCCCCTCATCACGTAGATTAATTTTAAATTTTATATACATATCTGCGTAAAAATCTATATACACTACATAAACCTCGGTCCCTATTGCTTATTGCATGTTTTGTTTCTTCATTATGTGCAGCAAGGAGTCTTTTCTGTGCCTCAGACACAGTCAAAGCCCAGAGAAAAAATAAACACACGTGGGAAAAGACCTCAGAAAACGCGAATAGCCCCTCACAGTCAGAGCCAAACCTCACAAAATCCAACCGTAGTTACTGCTAGAAGAATCCTCTTCTCGGCCTCGGACAGAACCCAGGGAGAGACGAAGAAACCAAAACCCATATTACCAAAAGCGTTTTCTTCGCTGCTTCGGACGGAACCCAAGCAGCGACGAAATTACCAATAGCCAGAAAGAGCCAAGCCCCATGTTTCCAAATGACGTCTCCTCTCTACTTCGGACGAAAGCAGAGAGAAAGCAGCCCACGAGCCACAGCCCACAGCGGCAAGAGCCACTGCAGGGGAGCCAAAACTCACATTGCCAAAGGCGTTTTCTTCGCTGCCTCGGACAGAGCCCAGGCAGAGACGAAAACGCTAATGGTGAAGCTGGCCCTTAATGGCCAGCGGAAGCCAAAACCCGCGTTGCTAAATGACTTCTCCTCCCCACTCCGAGTGAAAGTAGAGAGAAGGGAGTCCATGGTCACAAGGCAAGGGCCCAGGGGAAAACACCACGGGACGAGTAGAACCCCACCAGCAGAGCCAAACCCCACTAGCCAAACCCCACAAAGCCGAACCCCACAAAAATACGAACCCCACAAAAATACGAACCCCACAAAAGCCAAAATTGCAAACCCACAAAAGAAATCTGAACGGATTTTCCTCTCTGCCTCGGACATCGCCCAAGCAGAAAGGAAAAAAACCAGACAGAAAATGGTACAAAGTACCAGGTTGGGAAATCAAAAATTAAACAACCCAGGCAACCCGAAGATTGCTGGCTGAACTCCCTGACCTCTATGTGCAATGAGGAAAGGGGCGATCAGGGGAACTGGTTTGCATGTTCTCCAGTTCCCGTCGTCAGGTAAGTATGAGGAGAGAAGAAGGGGTGTGGGGAAGAAGCTGCTTATATAGCTGGGGGAGCGTGGTGCCAAGCCTGGATTTTGGCCAACGGGTTGTGTGTAGGTATGGCTTATGTTTGGATGTGCGTGTGCGTGTGCGTGTGGATTAGGGGATTGGCGTGATGTGTTCGGGAGGGAGCTTGCGTAGGTGGTGTGCAGTGTCAAACTTACGAGTAAGCAAGGCATGGACGGACGCATCCCATCTCCTACGTATCCACCAAGGTGTTCACCACAGCCACACCCTGTAAAATTGAATCATGATAACTTCTAGTGTACATGTATTCATGAAAATCAGGCAGCGGACAAATGTATCTCCACCTGTATTTTGGAGGTATGTTCTTGGCAATCGAGTGATATTCTATGATTAAGGTACCGCTCGCTACACATAGTCCTATACAGCTGTCTTACCCAGACCTCAGTACTATCAACTCGCTACTATCGTCGCCTTCTTCTCCATAGTAAGAGTGTTCTATGCACACACCCGCGCCCTGTCAACAGCAAACCTACTACCCGCTTTTCTCTTCGCACCGCCCCCCGCCCCCCCCATGTACTCGGAGCTTATCACACAACCACCCCTCCCTCGGGTCTTCACATCACAAGGACTAACCGTGGGCAACCCGTCTCAACATCGGAGAGTTCACCCTCGCAAGGATGCGTTTTCCGTACTCACTCCACCATAAGATGAGCCTCATCTCACGATCTTTTCTGCTCCTGTTTGGCTCTGGGCGCTGCCGAGGACCCAAAAGGTATAGAAACATCACTTATAAGGTTACCTGGATACATATTTATAGCTGGTCTGATGCGGATATCAGTCGAGTCATCACATGAGCTTGGCTCGATTCATAGTCCTAAATCTATGCTCTAGAATGTGGAGATTGCGGATGCTCTTGTGCATCATGTGTCTCTGTACTTTGTGGCCACACCTACGGGACAACTATGCTTCCTATTGGATACTTGTTGATTGCCAAGTAGCTCTAGTACTAATAGTTTCTTACGCGTATATTGTACAGGCTTGTGGTGTCATCTTGGTAGATTTCTTATAAAAGGGCCGCACCACTTCTTTTCTTGCCGTTATTTCAATGAAACACCCTCCCTGTCCTTCAAGGGTTTCAGAGCCATCGTTATTTCCTTCAACCAACTCGTCTTCATGCATTCGAAGGACAGCTTTCGATCTTCGAGTGACATTCCATGATTATAGTCCTTGAAACGGGCCACACTATTTACCTCTCTCATTCTTATTCAACGCGATTGAAGAAAGCTAAAAGTGCATTCTATTCAAAGCCAATCACAATAGTGGCCATCCAGATGCATAGCGTTAGCTACAACTATGCACTCCAGCCCAGGTATCACCTATTAACTCCTAGCAGGCCTCACTACGCCCCTAACCTCTCCGAACCCAACACCTTCCCCACAAACACCTTTTAGGATAACTTCATCTCCATCTTCCAACCAATACCTTTCCACTTTCTCCCCATCAGTCCCGTCGCATAGTACGACAGCCTCTGCCCCATTCCGACTTGCCTCTAACAGACTCCCTAGAGATTCCCGCTCTGTACCAGAGATGGTCCCAGTTCCTAGAAGGTCCCCGGTACGCAGAGGACAGCCTGTGATGGTGTGGTGCGCAATCATCTGTGGGAAGGAGTAGAGGAGGTTTCGGGAAGAAGTTTGGCTGATGGTGTATGTACTCCCCTTGGGTACTGTTAGATAAAGAACACGTTAACTCACTTCATTTTCTTAATTCCTTAAAGAAACCGGTAGGATTTGATTTCTCTATTTCGCCTATCGGGTTTTCTAGCTAGCAATCCAAGGAGAGACTTACTGTTTAACAAAACCTCGAGATTAATGTCATACACGCTGTTTTTCTCAGCCTCCCTTAGATACTGGCTCAGCGGCGCAGCCCCGTCAGATCTCTGCAATGGTGCGGTGCGGAACGGCTCAAGTGCATCCATCAGAACTACCCAAGGCGATATTGACGTCGCAAAAGACTTGCTCGTGAACGGGCCAAGTGGAACATACTCCCATGCCTGAATATCTCGTGCTACACCATCCAAACCGTTAGCACATATCCACCACCAAAAAGACCTCGACGTAGCCCCCACAAGGAACCGTAAAACGATATATCGTTACTCACCGGACCAGTCATTCAACAGCACCACACCAAACAACCATTCCGCAGCTTCCCCCACTTCCACACTTTCCCCCATTGTGCTGTCCCTACACAAGAATGCCCCGAGCTCCAGTTCAAAGTCCAGTTTCCCACATGGCTTCACTACAGGTGCTCCACCAGGCTTATCTAATACCTGTCCACGCGGCCGCACTACAGGAGTCCCAGAGACAACAACAGAGGAGGCACGCCCATGGTATCCAATCGGCATATGCTCATAATTTGGCTGCAGCGCATTGGCGGCCCCACGGAACAGCGTGCCGACGTTGAAGGCGTGATGGCGGCCGGCATAGAAGTCGGTGTAGTCACCAATCTGCAGCGGGAGATGCATTGTCACATCAGCTAGTGCGAAGAGACATGACTTCTGGAGAGCTGCGTTGTCTTTCAGCACCTCCGGATGCGGTGTGTTCTCCGCAAGTACAGACTGGAGATACTCCCGCACGAGGCGGTGAGCAGGGCGGCCAAGTGCTGCGAATTCGTTAAGTGTACTGTGGGAGGTAAAGACGTGGCTTGATGTGAAATCGGGGAGCGCAGTGAAACCGCCGGAGAGGGTGAAGATGTGCAAATCGAGAGCTTGGGCTCCAATTGCGATGGCGGGGTGCGGGGAAGGGTAGGCGGGCGTGGTGATTATGCCGAAAGGGATGTTTGAGAGGCCGAAGTGGCTCCCGGTAGGGATTTGGAGCCAAGAAGTCATTGTTTGAGGTATGTCTATATCTAAATTGATAATGTGTGATTAAAGTACTTACAGGTATCCAAAGTTGAAGCTCGAGGTTAAAGCTCGAAGCTCTGCGGCTACCGTCGGCCCGCCGACACCTTAAGATCGCCGCATCACGTGGTGATAGCCGCCCCTAGCCACGTGGTGATAGCCGCCCCTAGCCACGCTATACATAACCCTAATCCCGCTGCATATTTCTAATCCAGTTAGCCACTGGGGATTTATGCAGCTTAACCCTAAACTGACATCCACCAGCGTTTATCTGACTGGCGACAAGCAAGCAGCATCAGCTTTAAGCCCTGGAACAGAAAATTCCCATCCCTTCAGAGCGCTCTTCTGATCCAAACCGTGGCTTTTTGTGCTCGTCAATCACAAAGCTTGTCTACCCGCGAACCGCACCACGAGAGCAAAGGTGCAGAAACAAGCAAGTCAAGTGCACAAAGCTGACATCAACCCACAGCCACCAAAACAATCCGGTACAGAGAGAGCAAAGTAGGTGGAATAGGTGGATACATGGCTACTCTACTTTACCCTCTTTATGCATGCAGCTTACAGCCACCAATCTCAGCCCAATCACACACCCCAGGTTATTTTTGCAAAATCGAGTCAAGAGCAGAGCAGAGTACTCTACCTACTCTAGGGCAGAGCGCCACAGTCGGCCAACGGTGTGTAAGACGCTCACAAAGCAAGGAGCAGAGACGTCTCGTCTGTATGTAGACTTGTCTTTTCAGTTGGTTCAAAAGTAACAATGGGCGCATGGCATCGGTGTTTTGGATGTAAGCAAGTGCATGTCTCAGACGACCCCCACCGCACAGATATATATTTACCCACTTCTTTATCGTTGGCCAGCCAGCCAGCCCCAGTTGAAAAGGTTGCCCTAGGCTCGACTCTGCTCCTCTGTGTATGTACGGCCGCGTAACCTGCGATAACAAACGAACAAACGGAAAGAAAATCCCAAGACGCGGGTCGGGTTGACTTGGGTGGAAAGTGTGTGGAAAGTGGGTGAACGTGGCTGTCGTGCACCACCACCAGACTAACAGTATGGAGTAAGTATTCCTCGTCCTCTTAATAATATGAAAAATAGGCTACACTGCAGCTATTAGATTATTCTGGAAGCGCCAGGGAGGGCTACATTATACATACTCTTACTCCACGAATTCGAAGGTGGTCATGTCAAAGAAGTAGCGTACCGGCGTGCAAGATCTCCGGCCGTGATTTAATCGGCCAGCCCGAAAGTGCAGAAAATCAAAGCCAAGTCAAGAAACCAAATCCAAGTCAGGGGATTGATTAGAAAGATCAAGAGAGCACCGCTTTTTATTTTTAAACGTCCAACCAACCAGCCCCATACATAGCTTACAAGTCGTAAACCCGGTAGAGTTATGAATGAATGAAACACACAAGAAATGAATGAACAATGATGAGATGAAAGCACGTACAATCCGCCCACAACACAACCGTGCCCTCTTCCCCCTGCCCATCCCTTGGCCAATATTGCGTATGGGTTCGGTACCAAAAGATAGATGGAAATACCGATACCGTGGGTATGGTTTATGGAAAGGGAAAATGGAAAGGGAAAATGGAAAGGGAAAAAAAAATCGGAAAAATGGAAAAAATAGAGTACAGTAGCAATAAATTTTCATACTGAATTACGTTGTTTATGACATTCACCCACCCTCCCTTCCTCAGCCGGCCCACAATTCCCACAACCATTCAACCATTCATTCACCCCACAAAAGATCCCCCAACACCAGCATAGCAAAAAAAACACAAGAGTAAAAGGTAAAAGGTAAAAGGTAAAAGTAAAAGGAAAAAGACATAGTAAAAACATCAAAAAAAGATACGAAGAGCCGTTTGTTGGTTAATATATTACACTACGAAGAACATTAAACTCCTCCTCCACCAGTATATCTACTCCGGCCCTGCCCATTTTCTACCGCCTATGAGGGGGCATATCCTCTGGGCCTGGCGTATAGATCTCTACGGGATCATACGTCGAACTATCCGGCAACTCCGAGATCCTGTGCGAGTTCTCACTCATCGGCACCCCACTCAACCTCGGATCCACCGGCTTATTATCCCACGGATTCGCCGCCGCGCCAGCCGGGAGTACAGAGTATCTGGGGTCCTGGTAGACCGGCGGGTGTTCGGTACCCATGAGCCCGTCCTCCGGCGTCGTCGTCTTGTTCTCCTTCATCTCCGCACCCTTCTTCTTGCGGCCCACAAAGAAGAACAAGAGTCCAATCAGAGCCAATGCACACACACCTCCAATTGCGATACCGGCGATGGCGCCGACGGAGAGGGAGACGCCTGATGAGTTGTGAGCCGCGCTACTGTCGGGGGTCGGGGTAGCGGTGCTGTCGCTGGGGATAGGTTCGCCGGGAGACAGTGCGAAGTCGGCTTGACCGGCGCGGGCGGCCACCTGTGCGACGTAGGTTGAGTTTGGGGGGTTGACGGCACCGACCATTTCGTAGGTGATGCAGCTGCCGATCTGGGAGCAGTAGTAGTAGAATGGCAGGGTGTCGTTGACGGTGATGTTCCATGTTGGGGGCTGTTAATTGATTTGGTTATTAGTATTTTTTTATTTTTTTATTTTTTTTGTGAATCGCAGATATATATATATATATATATAATATTTCTCTTCTCCGTTTATCCTCAGGACAGAGAGGAGGAGGAGGAGGAGGAGGAGGAGGAGATGGAGGAGGAGGAGATGGAGGAGGAGGAGATGGAGATGAACATACATTAGCTGATGGAGTATCAATAGGATAGAAATGTGACCACCATCCATTGCCCTTCCCGATATTATAAGTCTCCCATGGAATACAAGGATAGTCTGGATCCATCCTCACGACCGAATGGTTCGCAGGGAAGAATTGAAATGCTATATGAGCGAACAAACGCCATCAATCAGTTACAAGCTCTCAAATTCGCTGGAGCAGATAAAGGCCGAGATGGCAATAAACTCACAGATGATGTCTCCAGGATCAGCAGTGACGATTTTCGGACTGAAATCATGATCACCCTTCCCCACAGTCACGACGTGCACCGCTGCCATCACCGATTTCCCCATCATCAACGCAGACACCGCAAGCTGTAATCGTGATCCCAACATGATTGTGACTATCTTTATCTTTCCCTGCTGCTGTTGCTGCTACTGAAAAAAAAATATCGCCTTATTTTTTGTCGAAGAGAAGGCAGCAAGATGAAGAGAGGCTTCCTTCTTATTCTTGTCGATGGAAAATAAAAGAGAGGGAGGGAGAGGAAGGAAAGAAGAGAAGTGTGAGTGGGAAAGCATATCACTTTTAACGCACAGATGGGGGGGCTACCACCCACCCTCCACACACTCACAGTGACCCACTCACAAGTAAAGTTGGGGCTGGGTAACACTCTAATTGGCTACAGAGGGCCCTGTGCGCTGGTTTTTCCTGCGAAGGTATCGCAGCTGGTCTAGTGCTTATCCGCCACACCCAAACAATATTTCCGGGCTGTGGTTGACTGTGTGTCTCCGTTACTTGAAGTTATCACACATCCCCAACTAGAGTAACTGCGCCGCACAAAATCGGTGCAGGACGGGTTATATACACATGTACTTGCCAGATTGACCTACTCTTCCTGGAAGGAATTCCAGGGATGGGGATCGCAATGGTTAAATCTTGCGCGAGCATGAGACTGGCAGATGGGATAACTTACTCTACATCGCATTATTTAAACTGTATAACTTACACTCTCTTTTTTCCCAAAAGGCAGGTTATTCAATTGTTTTCTCCCACATTTTTGTTTCGGGGAAGACCGTATCTAATAGCTCTCGTGAGATTGGCCTATCATGTAGGTAGAGTATGTAGTCAGAGGCAGCCCCAACTGTTTTCCTCAGACATTTCGCTTATTATTAAAACAAGCCTTTCCCTCACAGAAACAACTAATCAACCATCCCGCCTTTTCTCTCCATACAGTTGGAGCGCGAAAAATAGCCAGCCTAGCGTTTGGCCACACAGACTTCAAGGCCTCAGAGTGGAGTGAACCTTCGTTTCTCGCTTAATCCTTAATCTGTCTTCCAATCAGGATGCGAATTGCGCGACAGGGCCCTCCAACTATCAGCCAGCCCCAGATGTTTCCAAGCCACTCACCCTAACCCATAATAGCCCGAACGGGATACTACTAGTGCATATCCCAACCGTCCGGGCCCGTCTCAGTGAAAAGCCACAGTGAGTTCTTACTGGCGACATCGACGATATCTATTCATGGTGGTACAGTAAGGCTGTTGTGGGTGACCGAGGAGGATGGGTGCCGAATCCCGGGAAAAGAAAGAAAAGGAAAAAGGAAAAAGAGAGAAACGAAAAACCAATACTCGCTGTCTTGATTCTATCCACGTATGTGCATGCAATGTGTCTATCCGTGATTGATGCTGTGAGGAAGAGAAGCGAACCAGTTTTCTTCAACCAAGCATCGCGCGCGTGTAATTACGCGTTTGTGGCTTAAGTAAACGCTGGGAATGCATGCACATTACAGCGGGTCTTTTTTTTTTCTTTTTAGTTGAAGGAATCTCAACTTCTGAAATTAGACGCTGTTTAGCTTTGTGGCTGAAAGAATTCGGTGACCCAACTCTTTTAGCCCCCGTTGAGTCCACGGTTGACATGACATGACATCCATCCATTTGTCTGTTTTTCTGTTGGACCAGAAGAGTCAACATCCTCACCGATTGAAGGATAATTTTTCTTCCGTTACGTTAGCTGCTATATAGGCTTTTGGCGAAGTCCCAGAGACCCTGTAGCGGGCACAGACGAAGTTTCCAGCCTTATGTATAGTGCCGGCCTACTCTATGTAAAGGTACGCATAGCCTCAGCCTTACTCATGAGATTCATCGTCACCAGCACAGGGCCTACTGTATTCCATTGGCTGATCGCACATCCTATGAGGCCATGCGATGGTATCCCTCTCCGGACTTGATCCCGTGCGGCTCTTTCGGTAGTGCTTTCCTGAGATAGGTGCAGGGAGGAGGGGTTCTACCTTGTACTTGCGGCCGCCGCCTGCCTATCGGGACTTGCATAACCTAGAGTACTCTCTACTCCATGTGCAGCGAGACTTCCAAGATATGTAGAGTAGAGAAGAGAAGTAATTTATACAAGGGAAGTAATACATTCCTAATCTAATGCCTTGTCATTTTAGGCACGACATTGAGCATTGAGCAGGTGTGTAGGTCTACAGTAGTGTACCTACTCCAAGACTCTACAATACTGTGCGGAGCATTAGAGTGGAGTATGTACATAGGTAGCACAAAATGTACCTTGATCTTCGTCATCAACTCTTGAAACGTCGAGCCCCGACGCCCCGGGATCGCATAAGAAAGCAACCAAAGAGAAAGTACCAAATGGGAGTGACGATCCTGGTTTATTTTTAAGAAAGAGGGGGAGGCGCGGAGAAGCGACTCTCTCTTTGTTGACACGACTCTTTCTACCTAGGCATCGAATCATTATCTTCTTCCATTCAACCCTACTACCTCGGGTACATGTAAGGTTCCAATTATCCAGAGATCTTCCCAATGTTTAAAGCGGATCAAGCCACTCAGAACCCAACGTTTTTTTGTGTGCAACTCTTGTGGTGCCGCTTATTTCACAGACATGTTTATAAACGTTTTTTCTTTTCTTCTTCTCGAGCTGTACCTGCTTCTCATTTTAGGTAGTCAAGTCCTGGTAGATAGGAATGTTTCCAATATGATCCCAGCTTCTGATTGTGGCTTGCCTCGCTAGTTAGGTATAACTTATGTGGCTCGGTTTTTATGTTATTTTTGGCCTCATCTGGGTCCAGGTGTTATGACTTGGGTATTCTTAAAGTCCCTACTGTGTTGTTATGACTAGATGATAAAGAAGCTCTGCAGGGTAGGATGTAAATCCTGAGGCACACCTCTCATTCTAGCAGCCTATCAAACAACAAGATCTGTCTTAACGGCCCATATTCCTGTGGCGAGCTGTGGCTTCCGCGTGACAAATATGTCGGCATCCCATCGGCACAGGGCTTCTTCCAATATCTGTAACCGTCAACTGAACTCCGTGCTCGAGTAGCAGTTTTGGATTCATAAGATGGTCAAAATACACTGAGTGTTTGACACAACTGACGTGTACATGTCCGTCAAGCTAGCCAGCTAGACACATGGGTAAGACATTTGAATCTGAAAAGTCTAATCAAACCTTTCGTCCCCAAGAACCGCAAGAAATATACCACCTGGAATATGTCTGTTAAACGTCAGTCTAGTAGCTTAGAATAGGACAAGTACGTTACCCACATCTCTAACCGCTCGTTTTCCCGTTCGTCACTTAGATGCTCTTGTTGTTTGTTGTCTCCTTAGATCTTATCAACGCCCTACGGGTCTCGGGTCAGCTGTAAATTACGAGTGCTACACAAGACTCGTTTCGAGATGATACCCCTGAGATTCCCATTACATAGCTCTGAGTCCCAAGTTCCCAGGCCAGGCACGCACTGACTCTCTGCGTGTGTGGCTGGTGTCTCGGCGAGAAACCACCACTCCGGATAGAGCGGAGGGAGTCCCCACGCTATTCGAGATGAGCAAGCTTGCTAAGTATTTGCCTCATCGCGTGGGTATCGGGCTCGAGTCTGATTTCTGTCAGTATTCTTCAATTCAGCCCTGTGAGCTTTTCCGTCGTTGCTGATTTCAAATGTGGATATAGCTCTTCGTGTGGGCCGGCTGGCCAACGCCACAGGGGAGTAAGTAACGATGAGAGATTCGGCAGCGGTATGCGGTCCCGACTAGCTAACGATGGTTAGTACATGTATTCCTGATAGAGTGTGGGATGGATCTTAAGGAAGGGTGGGAGTGGGATGTTCGTTGGGCCTAGAGGGATGGGAGGTAAGCCAGACATGTGGTGGGTGATATTACATATAACGATTTCTCTGTCCCAAATCCACCTACATCTAGCCAGATGTTACCGGCTTAGTTCTAGACACTTGGTCAGTAAAATGAGATTTCTCTACATGCCGCTTTGGTAATATACGAAATGGATCGTTTTCTCGTTGTTACTCATGGAATATCACTCGCCACGAGAGCCCATCTGCGTGCACACATCCACACATGCACCGATCGCGATCACGCCATGGTACCGTCTCGTCCATGATGTCAACCGCAACCACCAAAAAATACCGGAACGAGACTACTCGCTGCCATTCCCATCGCGATTCCGGGTGCAATGTACGCTCCACCTATCTACCACTGCCCGCCGCTGCCGTTGTTGGTGCATATATTTCCATCGCATCAATGCCGAGAAACAAGCTTTCAAACCTTCCAACCACAGCCCCTCACCTCCTTAATTTCATCTCCAAACTTCCTCACGCGCGCTGAAGCACATTCCAATGGCCCGGTGAGAGGTACTATATAATCCATGTGGTTGTTTCCGTAAGCACAAACCTAATCCATGCGCCTCTGACAGCTCGACTAATATACGTACCAGAAGAAGAGGGACTTCGAGCCACTCCACTGAACCCGTCATCTGCCGGTACATTAAGCCCGCACGGCAATCCAGCTTGGGCGGACACTGCTTCCCGCCACTGCTTCACCAACTGCTCCGTCCCCGATTCCTCGACGGCCCGCGTCTTGATATAGTTACCTACATATGTCTATCTACCGCCCATGGCCAGGGACAGCTATCCCATGCCTTTAATGCTCTCCGCGCCGACAGCGCCCGCTGTACATATCTCTCCCACCCACGATAGCACCTGCCCGTATCAGTGAACGGTTCACAAACTCTCCGACCTCTCGCCAACGACTCTCCCTCCCCATGCCCCGCCCCCTGCCGCCGGAAACCGGACGCTCTATACTAAACGTCACCCACGATACCAATTCGCATCCCACCCCACGGTAACGGCGCTCCCCACTCCATACTCCCCACCCGACGGAAGTACCGGAGTTTGCATGGCTGCCATTCACCCCTTACCTCTGCGAGCCACATGGCAGCGACAAACTACATCATAACGCGTCCAGCCCAGCCCATGACGTACGCAACCGACCGATATATACGCTCTCCACATATAGGTCGGTACTCTCGCGCGCAATATGGGCTGATTTCCTCCCCGTGCTACGGGTGGATATGTACCTACCCGCAACGC